CACAAATCATACGCACTGGATTTCCAGAACATTTTCTTCTACTGCAGAGAAATGCCAGCATGTACTGTGGATGTTAGATGCAGCAAAAAAAAACCCAGACCACTCTGTTTTTTACATACCTATTTTCCCCTTCCTCCACAGCACAGCCTGTTGAATCCTGTAAATCATTTTTAGATTGGTAAACTGTAGAAGACAAAGCAGGGACAGAGCCTGTAGAGAAGGCAGGAAAGCGCGGCTCTAATCTAACAGTGAGCAAGCTTCAAGGTTACATGCATATTTTTAGTAAGAAGAGAAACTTCTACTAGAATTGCACTTCTATATATTTAGAAATACATTTCTGCTTTTATAGCGGATAAGAGGACATTTTAGAAGCTGCAGTAGCCAGCCCATTTTAGAAGCTGCATTAGCCAGTCCATTTATTTCACAAAACAAACACAGGAAATCTGACTGCCTACCTTCCTCTAAAACCCCAAGTCCCGTCGCACAGAAGCTGCAACTACTACTCACCTGTCCCCGCTTTCAAGACACCACAGAAGTCACTGCTCAGCTGGACAAGCTTTTCAAGAGGTTACTGTCTCTGAGAGCGCCTATAACTCTATGGTCTGGCACTTCCTTTTTCTGAAAAGAAATGGTGAAAGATGGAGTCTGAACACATGAAGATAACATGCAAGTCAGGGAGGATGTGACATCATACGTTCAGCTAATACAGTGGCTGAAAGAAGGGTCACGCAGCTGCACTGTGAAGAACCCACCTAATTAGAAATTAATCAGGAAAAAAAAAAAGAGGAGGAATTTGAAACCCCATTATTGCTACACATTAAGCTTTATACTGTGGCAGGAAACTGATTGCTGTTTTGTTTTCTACTCGTTTGCTAAGAATTCCCAGTGCTCACGCTGCTTGGGTGGCTGCCACAAGAACTGAGCTGAGTTTCACAGAGCTGCCTCCTCCCACCCCAAGACTTCACTTCTGAATGCTCCTTTGAACACACGCTCTTTTGACCAAATAATTTACTCATCCACTTGGGAATACTCCCTCTTATGCTGGATACTTCATTGAATGACTTTGCCAAATTCAGGTGTCCCTCATTTTGTGATGGAGTTCCCTCTTGTCCCTGCGCTCCATGGCGGCTGACCTTCCCTTACAGAAGGCACGTTGGCGCATTCATAAAATACCACCTTTATCCATAGAGCCACTAAGTTTAGCGTTCAGTGCAGTTTCTACTCAGTTGCATGCAACAAATGTCAGGCCTATTGCTCTGTAGCTTCCCAAACCCCTTCCCCCTCCCCAAATCCTTCCAAGCACTGGAGCACCACAAACGGATTCATAAGATGCCAACGCTGGGGAAGATCTTTGGAAAGCACCTTAAGCCATTCCTAGCCCTTTCATCACTGCAGCTTTCCAGGCCTCAGGTCAGGTCCCAGCTAGTCACAGAATCACAGAAGGGTTTGGCTTGGAAGGCACCTCTGCAGATCATTTGTCCAACCCCCCTGCTCAAAGCAGAGACACCTAGAGCAAGTTGCTCAGGACCGTGTGCTATTGGGTCTTGACCTTGTCCAAGGACAGACACTCCACAATCTGGGCAACCTGTTCCCATGTTTCACCACCGTTTCTTCCATTCTAACTTCCTGTATTTCAGTTTGTGCCCATTGTCTCTCATCCTGTCACTGGGTTCCACAGAGAAGAGTCTGGCTTGTCTTCTTTACCCCACCCATCTCCAATCAGGTATTTATATGCTTTGACAAGACACCATCCAAGCCTGCTCTTCAAGAAAAATTATCAGAGCTCTCTCAGCCTCTCTTCATAGGGCACGTGCTCCAGTCCCTGTCTCATCTTAGCGGCCCTTTGCTGGACTTGCTCCAGTATGTCCATGGCTCTCTTTAACTGGGGAGCCCAGAACCGGACACAGCACTCCAGATGTGTATCACCTGTACTGAGGACGAAGGGAAGGATTGCTTCCCTTGTCCTTGCAGGTAATGCTCTACGTAATGCAGCCCAACAGGCTGCTTGCCACCTTTGCCACAAGGGAACACTGCTGGCTCCTGGTCAACTTGTTGTCCACAGGACCACCAGATCCTTTTCTGTGATGATGCTTTCCAGCTGGTCAGCCCATGTACTTTTCTCCTCTCCTCAAAGTTTATTACTGCATTGGCTCTAACCAGGTTTGCCAGAAGCCACAGTCAGCTTTATCTCACCTAACTTTAAAAGTCTGTGGTATATGTACCTGTAATCCCATTACAGGCGGTAATGCCTGCAATCACTGATCTGCTTATGTAATTTGCATTAGGATTAGATGAATAACCCATTGACTAGATCCCCAGTGACAATAATAAGACGTGGTAGTCCTGGGCCTGGTCACTGGTCCTTCTGCTGTTGTGGACATGTCTGCCCCTGTTCTTCCGTAACATGTTCAATAATCCAGTGAAAGGAATGTAATGCTTCTCGTAGCAATGCAGAAACAGGCAGATGCTGAGACCCTCTGAGAGTGGTCCAGACAAGGACTGGTTAGATACTCACACACCACAAGAATTTCTTCAACAGAGCAAGAAATCTGCTAATATATATATTCTGACAATACGTGATTTGCAAAATACTGTGTATAATTTTCACGACCTTGCTTGCTAAATTTAAAAGCCTAGCTAACCAATACACTGCTGGAAATACGTAAAGAAAAAAACCAAACCAAACAAACAACCCAGTCCAAACAGTAATTGTAAAATGTATAGAGACATATTACTGAATAAGGTAAAAGCTGACATTTAAATGATAGCAAGTTTCTCTTGCTCCAAGCATAAAAGGATAAAATGTAATACAAAGGGAACAGACACAGAAGATCTTGTAACTCCTCTGTGCAAGGACTTTAACCAGTCTGATGCTGCTGGATCAGCTCATGCTCATATCTACTTTTGGTGCCCCTATGGGGTACGGGGAACACTCTGCAGTGAGCAAAGGGGTTCCTGCCCTATGTGACTGTAAAAGTGCTTCACTGGTACCTTGGTAGCAAAACTGGAGACAACAAAAAATACAAACTTGGCTGACAAAATTGGCTGACAATTAGATGATTAGGTGATGGTACAACATGAATTGTACATAAAGCCAACTTACATGAAGCCAAACAAGCATCACCAGTTTCTGCAATCGTCTATTTTTCAAATTGCAACAGCAGATACACAGAAGTC